ATGTGGGCATTCTAAAAATAAAAATAGGTCTATTTACATTGCAAAATAGCCATGCACTTACCATCATGATTAGGATTTCCTAGTGTCCATGGCTCATCTGAGTCAAAATGGGTATCTCCTCCAATTCCTGGTCCAGGGAAATAGGCATGTGCCAAAAATCCTCCCTCTCCATCAAAGGGAGAACTGTCTCCATGAAAACCAGATGCAAAAATAATGGTTATATCCACATCACGTTTGCCATTTTCTAATTCGCTGTAGGGAACTTCTTCAAATGTCAGAGGAGTTACATTCTGCCACACATCAAAGGCACGGCGAATAGCTTTACGGGTCTCAGGGTCTCCTACTTTTGGAGTTACGTTCTTTATACTGAAAGTTAAAAAATATAATAATCAGTAAGGCTTTTGTTATGTTTAATCTGACTTATTAAAGATTTTGATCTGTTCAGTTCAGTAAAATATTATGGAAAAGAGTGGTATTAAAAAGGAGTGAATTTATTCATTCCTCTCTTCTCTATTCATTGATTTCACTACATTGTGATCATTTAATTTTCAGCAGTATAGTATTCATATACTGAAGCTATAAAAGAGAAGATCTCTACAGAATGGTGAACAGTAGGGTAACTAGATCAATCAGTCACTTTGCCTCCTAAATAACAATAGGAAGGTAGATTTGCCAAATGATCAAACAGGTGCAGCAGTTTTCAGCTGAAATAAAAATTTCAATTTCTTTACGGTTATAATCACTTTTAGAAGCACACCATTGTATCTGCACATATCAATTTCAAACACTTTCTGATGTTTTATTCTTATTAATTCATTCTAGTTAAAAATTACAGCTAGATAGGAGGAATAAGTTCTAGTGTTCTCGCCACTATAGGATGACTATAGTTAACAATAATATATAGTTTCAAATAGCTAGAATAAGGAAATTGAACATTCTCAACCTAAAGAAATGATAAGTGTTTGAAATGAGGGATATACCGATTTGATCACTATTCATTATATGTATCAAAAGGTCACTATAAACCCCATGAATATGTACAATTATTTGTCAATTAAAAATAAAATTCAAAAGTGTATTGTAATTAGCTGTTTAATACAAAGATTTAACAATGACATGAATTTAAAGAAGTAAATCTAACATTATTTTGTTTGCCCTGATGCTAATAACAAATTGATGAAATAATTATAAATACTGTTCTTCATTCATTTAATACTAATCAGATGTTTATCTTTTCCTGGTTATTTTTCTATTTTTTTCTAAATAGAACATCAATGAAACTAATATGTATATTTTTTATATTGTCACACTATAAATTCATACCATGCATGTGAAAAACAATGGAAAACTCCACAGGAGTCAAAAATAAGAAAAAAAATTTTAAAAAGAGCTGAGAACGACACCACATTTTTTTTACCTGAGCCAAAGGATGGATAGAGCAAAAGAATTCATGCCTACTCAGGGAAAAAGCTCTGCAGTGTTCTGTTGTTGCTGCGGCTGTATTTGTTAGTTCATTTTAATTTTATGTCTTATTCAGCATGGTACTCTGAACTATATTTTGAAAAAGAGTAAACAACTACATTGAGATACCACAGACCTTTGTCTAGCTTGTTAGTCTCTAAATTTCCTGTCTGATGGCTAAAGAGGCATGCAGAGTAATGTTGTAACCCTGAATTTGGCTAAATTAACTTTCTTAGTAGTTTTCTATGTTCTTCCCATCCTATGGGATTTCAGAAGCCCCTCATTAGTGGGAAGATATTCCTATGACACATTATTTGAAAGAACTTATTACATAATGGGGACTGTTCTCGGTGCTAAAGATATAGCTGAACAAGATTCTGCTCTCACAGGACTTATGTATATTCTAGTGACAAGAGAAAAACAATCACTAAAACAAAAAAGACAAATAATTTCAGAGAGTGATAAGTGAGGGGGTGAGCAGGTAAGGTGAAGAGATGATAAATGGGATTTCAATGACAGAAGGGGCCAAAGATGCCTGCCACTGAGTTTCCAGCCAGAAGGAACAGTGGGCAGGCCACATCAGCTTGGCCTGTTCAGAGAATGGGAGTTCTCAGTGAGTTGGAACTAAATGAACACACAGGACCATGATATGAGATCAGATGAGGGGATTACCTGGGAAGGGATTATATTCTGTGAAGGGAAGCCCCTGGAGAATATTAAGCAGAGGAGGACTGTGATATTTCAGTTTACAAATATCACTGTGCCTGACAGAAAATGGATAAGAGGATAAGGAGTCCACCCAAGAGAAGACAGAGACATGGACTAGAGTGACAGTCATGGAGATATAGAGTGTCAGCTTCAGTGCCTGCTCTGAGAGAACTGTTAATGGGAATTGGTGATAGAGTCAATATGTAATGGAGAAATTCATTTGATTTCAAATAAAGGATAATCTAAGAGAAACTAAATGAAATATTACTATGATTTATATATGAGTATGTGAATGCATATAATGGTTTTGAGGAAAATGAAGCAAAATAATATAATAAAAATAATAAATGTGAAGTACTATTTGGATTTGAAAACATATCATTGTGTTTTTCAAAGCTATGTACTCTTTATCTTCTAAAATGTGCTTAAACACATATCATTAATAAATACAAGAAATACAGGTGTGCTTCAAAGAGCTGGAGTTCTGAACTAGGTGCAAACAACAAACAAGAGTTCAGAAACTTTTATGGAATTGAGAGAGGTATTTTGTATTTACTCATAGCTGAAATAACAAAGGGCACAGAGAGATCATGAGGTAATAAGAATAAAATAAGGCTTATTAACAATTCTAAGAGCACAAAGGATTAAATATATTTGCAAAATAAAAGGGCAATGCTATGAAATGAGTAAAACAAAAGTTAAGTTGGAAAACTTAATGAAGCTAATTTAATTTTAAAA